GTATAAACTAAATCGTAGGATGAACTAAACGCGTCATGCACTACGAACTTTGTATTGCGAGGCATCATCCGAAACTTAGATCTAGAGGCCCATCTAATTCAAATTTATAGGGGGGTTTTCAAGAATTATTTACACAAAAATTTGAAGCCCAATTTTTAATCCTCTCTTCACTTGAATTCAATAAAGCTAAAGGTCATCCCCTTTCCCAAAAAATTGGAAGTAGACACATTGTTTTTTAGGTCAATGTGGGCTAATTGCTTACCCTATAAGACCCAAATCACAAGGACCATGACCTAGACCCATCCAAGCCCACCTAACATCTTGGTCCAAAACTTAGCTTCACCTCTTTTTCTAGGTCAATGTAGGGCTACTTGATCACCCTATGAGACCCAAATCACAAGGACCATGACCCACATCAAGTCAAGCCCACCTAACATATTGGTCCAAAACTTAGCTTCACCTCTTTTTCTAAGTCAATGTATGGCTACTTGCTTACCCTATGAGACCCAAATGACAAGGACCATCACCCACATCAATCCAAGAGCACCTAACATATTTGGTCCAAGACCTAGCTTCACCATTTATTATTTTTTTATTGATTTGGGTCCATCAACTTTGTTACTTTGTCATTGGTTTTCCTTCCTCAAATTCTATTGAACTTAGGTTATTATAGTAATCATTTATTAAAAAATTATTACAATTTATCAAATAATTAAAGGAATAAAAATAATTTACCTACCCATATTCAAAAAATATATATCTAATAAATTATAAAATTAATATATCATATTTAATAGAAATACAGATACCCTTTACTCGTGGAGTTAATGATATTCATTTTTCATTTGATAGAAAATACTTTCGGCTCGAATTAAAATACTATTTCATAACTTTAATTTATAATTAAGTTCAAAAAATACACAATTTGTTTGAATAAAATTATGATAAGATCAAAAAATTGTTTGATTGAAACTTACCCTAAAACCTTTTTCAATGCAAACCTTTTTGGAAGTCAAGATCAACCTAAAATTCATAAAAAGAAAAAAGTCAAAGTTGAAAATGGTTAAAGTCAAACACCCACTAATGATCATGGAAATAATCCGTGTAATAATTTCCCAAGAGTTACAGAAGACGGTTGTCTCTGAACCGTTTGATCAGCGGGCCCCCACATGGTGCACGTGCGTATCCGGGCCAGGATCCTCTGCGGCCGCTGCAGCAGGTTGATGTGCGACCATCAGATTGGACGTCGATGTGATGCACTGAATCAAATTTACTCATCTCTGATGAACAATTCAGAAAAAAAAAAAATAATAAATAAAAACGAGTGGGGCCCGGATCCAGTAGAGTAGAAGAAGACAAGGGAGGTGGCCCCACCGTAATGTCATTTTGAAGTAATTTAATTTGGATGTGCATGTCGTCTGATCTCTGTAGTCATGTGGTGGACCCCACCTCCCCTCGGCTGACACTTGTGCTGTCGTTTTACTTCATTACACATTTTACTATAATATGAGCATATATGTATGTAAGTATAGATATACATATATATATATATATATTGTATCTATGTATATATTCTAATAATTATAGTTTGTAATTTTGCTCCCAAAGAAATTATACTTTGCAGTTTTGTCCTAGAACAAATACCATGATAAATTTATATGTATATATATGCAACATAGAATAAAATAGGCTCGTATAAGAGAATATATATACTTATAATTATTATGTAAGAATTAATAAATTAATTTATTAGCTAAAGTATCTATTTTCAATATAAAGTCATGAGTACGAGTCCCTAAGTGAGTGTGGAGAGAGCTACTTGAATTTGCTAATAAGACTTTTCCGAGGTGAGTTTTAGCCAATAATCAACGACTTCTTCTATAGAAGAGATAATATGATAAATATAACAAAAAATAAAGTGATAATATTTCTCGATTTATTTTATTTGCTTATGAAAAACATCACTATAAGTAATTTACTTGGTATTATGATCGTCATAGAAGATGTTGGTAATATTAGCTTGTGGGGATCTCACATATTGAATTACGACGAGTTCGTTGAAGTTTTAGAGACAACGTCTATAATGTTTCAGTTGGTACTCAATTTCATCATTCAATAATTAAGAATTTA